CTCTTATTCGTAATAGCTTATCTTTTCGGCCGGGGGTATTTCCTATTCGTTACCTGGGAATTCCTCTATCCCTAGTTCGTTTGAAGGTACGTGATTTTAATCCCCTTGTGCTAAAGCTTAAATCTCGACTTTCGAACTGGAAGAACAAATTCCTTTCCTATGGAGGAAGACGACAGCTTATACTCTCTGTTCTTCATTCTATGCAAACCTATTGGATGTCGGTATTTTTAGTACCGGCAACCACAATCCATGAAATTGAGCAGCTATTTCGTAATTTTTTATGGAATAAAGCAGAGGGTCAGCTGGGTAAATGTCGAGTTGCTTGGGATACGGTTTTCTTGCCTATTCAAAATGGGGGTCTAGGTATGAAAAGACTAGCGATTTGGAATAGGTGCTTACGTTTCAAACATATTTGGGATATTCTGAATCGTAGAAATACCATGTGGGTCTCTTGGATTCAGTCTCATTGTATTCGGGGAAGAAATTTTTGGGTTATTAAGAAGAGAAATGAATGGTCGTGGATTCTCCAGAGCCTTTTAGACTTAAGATCTCATTGCAGAAGATTTTTTATCTACAATGTGGGGAAATGGTTTATCTACGCATGCATGGGAAGATAAATGGAGTGAGTTTGGTCCCCTTATTCAATTACTGTCTTATAGATTCATTAATGGTCATGGATTTCATAATAACTCCTCGGTTTCTGATGTAATGCAACGCTTTGGCACTAATTGGCCGGTGGATTGGATACAACAATATCCTCAGCTGCAAAGTATTTTGATACCTTCTCCGAGCCAAATGGAGGATACGGTCAGATGGCTTGATGCTAAACTTTCTCGGGGAAATTTTGAGGTCAAAGTGGCATGGAAAACTGTTCGAGAAGTGAGGCCGATTGTGCATTGGTATAAGCTGGTATGGAATAAAGCATACACACCTAAACATGCTCTTTGCATGTGGATGGCTTGTCAGAAGAAATTACCAACTCAAGATCGCATCAGTCAGTGGAAGCATGAACCGTCGGATTTGAAATGTGTGTTTTGTAAATTAGTGATTGAAACGCACAATCACTTATTTTTCGAATGCAATTACTCATGTAGTATTTAGGAAGTCATTAAAAAGGAGGTGGGATTAACGAATTGTTCGAACAATTGGGAGGATATTCTTAACAGGGGTTTAGCTCAAAGATGGAAATCTTGGTCTACGGTTCAAAAACTTGGTATATCGGCCACGGTATATCATATCTGGAGGGAAAGAAACAGGAAGTTCTTTGACAACTTTAATCATTCTGGGGACAAAGTTGTAGCGGAGATCAAGATGTAGATTCTTCAACGTATGGCTTGGAAGACAAGAAAGAAGCTGACGCCAACAAATGTTGTGTGATTTCGTGGGTGGAGTGCCTTCTCGGTTTGGGAAATTGTGGGTTTTTTCGCCTTTTTCTCTTTGGCTTTCTTTATTTTTATGTTTTGGTGTACTTCTCTTTGTCATTTTTGGCTTCTTATGGCTTGGTTTGTGAGTCAAAGGTGCCGTAGTTTTTCTTGCTGATTAGCTTTGTAACGGTTCCGCTTTTATTGGTTTTTATAAAATTGCCTGGGGAACTTTCCCCTTTCAGTACATAGATGCCAATTGGAAGTTACAAAATCGGATTATCAGGTTATTTCTTTTTTTAGTATTTTGTGCTATTTTTATAATTCAATGTTAATATTCTTATTTTAATATATTCTTTGAATCTTTGATGCAACTTTTTACATGTGCTATCTCCACACGCTGCTGATGCATTGTCTCACGTTATGATCGAGTGTTTTATGGATTGGAACATTGATAACAAGTTGTCAACATTGAAACTTGACAATTGTTCAACAAATGATGCTTTGGTTGACAG